CTTTTGGCGGGTGCCGAACGTCATAAATTCCCCTAGGAGGGCGGGGAAGTACAATAAAAACTGTCGATGACAGATAAGCTGTCCAAATACAAAGGCCATCGGAAGCTTGGTTTTTGATTGGTGAATCAAATACAAAGGTAATGGGAAACGATCTGCGGTGGGGTGGCTGGAGCGTGTGTTTTGTTTGTACGTTTTACAGGTCCCAGGGGAGGGCGGGGAAGTAGTTGTCATCTTAAAAACTGACCCCAGAACACCTAGCGAACCCACCTCGGAGTCGGTTAACGATTCAGCTCGTTGGTTGGTTGCACGGCTTATCGATCCAAGCTTCAATCGATAAGAGTTGAGAGCGACAAAACGGAACTTTCGTGGCAAATTATTTTTCGTGCATTCGGGACTGAGTATTTTCCTTCGGTTGGCTATCTAGCACGATTATCGAACATGGCAGAGGGGCAGTTTGGGGGGATTTGAAACGTTCTAACTTTATGTTTTGGGCCCAACACTAAGACCATATCTTAGGTAGTCGACCGCCATGGTTTCCAACCCTCGCTTCTCTTTAAGAAGAGAAAACCAGGATTAAAAAAAATAGCTTCAATCAAGATAAATCGGTAAAATAACGACACCAAGAGCAAACAACACACGTATGGTATAAGGTAAGCCATTTTTATCGAATATTTTCACTTTTAACTACCTCCATGGATATCTAGTAGAAATCCCATACAAATCTTTATAAATTGATATGCCACATTGTATTCCTTGTGTGGTTCATATAGAGAGCTTGGGATACCTGTGCACAAAGTAGCCAAAAATAAATAAGCCACATGTTCTATGAGTGACTGAGATATTTAAAGAGTGGTATAAGTCAGCGAAATAGACGAGGCCCTCCCTTATATGGCATCATTTTACCGAAATAAACTGACAGAATCACAAAAGAATAAACGAATCTGTATCGAAGGACTTCGCCTTGATTACGGAGAATGGCTTCTTCAGGCGGCAAAACCTTAGTCATGGCGTCGSTACTAAGAAGAAAACCGAAAAGATTTCCATACAGGACAGTTCAGTGGTGGTTACATCCCCATCCCCTCCCCTACCATGTCAAGTTTTCATTTTCTTTTATCCTTCATGTATCGTATCTCCTGTGTCCCGCAGTTTCTATTGCTTCATTCCATCATCAGTCGTCGCTGAGAAAAAGATGCGGCCAAAGCTGGCATACTATCACATTTTTGGTTTGTTTACAGGTGAGATTCCATCCAGCCTATTGTAAAACTCATTCTTGTTTTTTCTTTCGCGGATTGAAGGGGGTATTTCATCTTGTTTTCAGAATGATCGACGAGGTGAAGCACCCTATGAGATTGAACTTCTTTCGCGTGGCTCAAAATCGAGGGGCAAGAATTTGATTCCAGGTCATCTTGTTCGCACTGGATACAAGTTTTACTCGTTGAACTTTCACAATCGAACGCACATGCGCACTCACTACACAGACCACTGTCTTCCACTGATAACATGCTGGAACACATGATTACCTCGTTACTGTTTGTCACCACACGATTGCAATCAGAGCACACACTAGAGCATGAGGAACATGTGACGTCGTAGGCGTGGTCGGGGAACGTTTGCTGTTTAACTGAAATGGAAAGTACTTGGTTTGTTGTGGAAGACACTCCATTGACGATATAAACATGCGGCAAATCTTGGAAAGATAAAATTTTCCAGTTTTCGCGCCTTTGAGTTCCTCTGTCCACAGTCGCCTTGTCGATTCCCTCATTGGGGCTGGTTATGTCTTCTTCTGTCAGGGCAACAACGTTGATGAAAGCAGGGTAGGGAGGGGATGTTTTGTCGCAGTCCACTAATGGCAGGGGTGTTCCTAAAAACGGATCACAATGTTGATGTGCTTTTCTCAAGGAATAACGTTCGCGACTTCTTCGAAATTTGCGATTACAGCACATTAAATACAGTGGTCTTCTGATGAGAGGATTCCTGAAGCCGTACACAAACGGGTTAATGCAGCTGTTTAGGAAAGCAAACCAATAAGAAGCTAGTCCCAGGCTTCGTGCGAAAGCATCCGGGCTTTTCACTTGATGAGCGGTCAAGTACACCATGTACGCGAAGTAAGGTGACCAACAGAGAATAAAAACAATGAGCATCATAAAAACAGTCAGGGCTATTTGACTTTGAGTGGACAGCGAACTTTCGCTGTTGATGCTAGATAATGACATCCTCGAACGGCGAATGTTGTGTTTCTTTACAACCAGAAAGATGTTGACGTAACAGAATCCCATGATACATAGCGGCATAAGGAAGGCAACCACAAGAACCACAAATGAGTAAATGGTTTGACCAATGTTGGCTGGGATTTGAACTCCACACTGAGTTGACCCTAAGGAATGAAGAAAATTTCGAAACCGTCAGCTGCTTTTCCGTTGGTTTATAAACTTTTACACTAAGCTTGCGTCACTCCATAATCCTGCGAAATTTTCGCCCGATAATGAATCAATTAACGATTAATATAGTAATAAAAATTATCACGTTAATAATCAATCATACTTGCGACATTTCGGCAGGCTCATGTTGGCTGAAAATACCTCTCTAAATTAAATTTCGAGCAGTAAAGGAAGTTAAATTCTGATGTATGTTATTGAAAAGTAATCTGATCCATGAGTGCATGAGCAATTATCGAATACATAATCTTGCACTCTTAATTTTACCCCAAACAGCGCTCAAAAACAACCAATACTTATTGCTGATATTTTCAGAAATGATCCATTATGGAAAAGAAATATTTACTTACCTGGCTTAAATTCAAATGCAATGAAACCTGTCAGCGGTAAAGCTGCGAGTCCAAGTGCTGTTAACCACGTCATAATAACCATGGTAACTGTCTTCTTTGCCGTTATGACAACCCTCATGGGTTTTACGATGGAAAAGTATTTCTCGATGCTTATTGAGGTAAGCGTAAACAACGACGAAGCCTCAAAAAGAATGTTTACAAACCCATTCAGTTGGCATATGCTGTCACCAAATATCCAGTTACGTGTATAGCACGTGATGATTGAAAATGGCATACAAAATAATGCGACACCCAAGTCTGCGCATGCCTGGTTCAAGATGAACATGTTTGTGCGCGTACGTAGTACTCGAGTGCGGCATATTGTGATGATCAGCGTCATGTTGCCAAATATAGCGAGCAGCATTGTGAGCACCAGGACAGGGGCAAGCACCAAGTATTTCGTACGAGGTTCTCCATCCACTTCAACATTTGAAAGCGAGGAATTCTGTAGTTGCCTAAAATTTAAGTCCACCATGGGTGAGAAGCCTGTAAGTAAAGAGAAAAAATACAAATTTTCAATCAGATTTGAAGAAAAAGTCCCTTAAACCGTTGTAAATCTTTTTATGTCCTTCGCATACCCATACGACGTTCTCAACAGGCAAGGGTTGATTGCTAAAGAAATTTGCATGCACTTGAGCCCTACATTTGAGATATTTATGGCTGCAAATATTTGATATAAAAATTTGAGCGTTGTCAAATATAAATAATAAGGATTTGTAACAGCATATCAAGTACACTTGAAGAAAAAACTGGCCTCTCCGCTTGCTCTGAGCAGTGAGTGCATCACAAACACTGTTCCACAGACGTTTAATCACTTTCTAGCAAATAATGAACGCACATGCTTAAATCGAATACTTACTTTACGAAACAGTTGTAAAAAGCAGTCCAATGTAAAAGTGGAGAATGCCTCTGCAGTTAAAAACTGAGGTCTATTCTTTCAACAGTTACGGATACGCAAAAGTCACCTTTGTGCGAATTGGAATAATAGAACTGACTATACTCCCTGCTCTAGGGCAACTGAAAGGTGATCTTAAAAAACAGAAACATTTGTAACTCGAAAATGAAAGTGTGACGACACTAAATATGGGATATTTCCCTCAGCACGGCAACCGCTGGAAAAATAGTTATTTGGATCAAAAGTTTGACTTTATTTAGAGGCGTTTGAATAAAATTTTCATAGGCAAAGTTGAAAATGTAGGATCAAATCATAGGTGCATCATGTTCTGTGTATTCTGGAAATTTGTAACGGCGGGATTATACTTTTGATAACTCGCATTTATCAAACCGAAATTTAAAAATAGAAAACTGTTGTTTTTTTTACCAAACAAGTTTTCAACATGCGAGAAAGGTAGACTTTAATTTGACTGTATGAAAGTCCCTTGAAAATAAGATGCCATTTTGAAATTGCTTACTTTAGCGGGAAAGAGTAACCCAGAAGAAAACTGAAACGAGTATCGGCAAGGTCAGAGCTAGAAGTTAACCCAATTAGTTCACTTTCATTGTAAAGCGTCTGTATCGATCAATATCAAAATGCTTCCAATGCGTTACAAGTATCGGACCAAATTTGCCGGTCCGAGACTTCCAAGTTTTTTCAGGAAAAGCTGGAATTCAAATTGATGTTTTGACAGAAAGCATTTTTGGTCATGCAGGAGAAATCTAAGACGCTTCTCTAAACAAGAGAAATGCTGATTCGGTGAACACTGATTCTAAACTTGTGAACTTTCGATACAAGCGGTACATAACGATCAAAAGTCTCTAATTTCTAATTTAAAGACTCAACCGAGGTCGAATGACGACCGAGTTTAATAGCCTGTTTATAGAACAGGAAAAAGTATAACCCAGGCATGCTCACATTTTGTTACAAACGGCTTTGATTTCAAAACTTTCAAATGGCATTTTACGCATTTTGAAAACACTCAATTTCGAGTCTTAGAAAAAAGTGCCTACCTTAGTTTGAAGTTCTAAATACAGTTAAAGTGGACTTGTTCAGACCTCATAGTTTACAGACGTCTTGCCACTATGTTTAGCTGACACCTGAAAATTGAAAGGCATTTTAAATAAACATAATTAACTTCGCGAATAGTTAACAATTCGGCAGAAAGTCGGATAATCGCCTTAATTCGCTCAGAGACCCCTTTTGTAGCAGGGTTTAATTAATTTGAGAAACAATGCTTACTGACATATATTCTGACCAGCTTTTGATTGAACTCTGTTTTAAAGAAATCGCTTGTTTGCTTTTCTTGAATAATCTAAGCTCCAACAGTGGACAATACTTCTTAAAGTATGAACCAACCTGTCAAATCATCCATTTTGAAAGGTCATGAGCCAATGCTGCATGTAAAGCCAAAATGCTCTTTTATCTCAGGGGTTTTTCCGTCCAAGAGCAGTAATCCTTGGCCTCTAAAACCGAACTTTATAACGGAAAGTTATTCCAGCTCGATCTTTCAAGCAGAATTTTGCATAAAACGCGGAAAATGCAGTTGAGTGGTTGGTTCAGTTGAACAATTTTATTGTTTTTACTTAAAATATATGACTGTAAAAGAAGAAAATCTGCATTTCAATTTCATTCCAAAAATCGAGTTAGGTGATGAAATTGCATTCAACTTAAATTTATCACGAATCTTAGATTAAATTAAAAAAAAAAAAAACATCAATAACCGTAACATGCATGCTCGAAATGAATTGATTAAATCCTACGGTTTAGTAAATTTGACTTAATTGTCACTATGGATTTTTGAGTCATATCATTCACGACAAAATTAAAAACCTCAGTCTAGAGAAAAAGTGAGTGTCTTCGGCTTGTTTTCATAATCAGTAACTCTAGATCTTAAAGCATTGATGCTGAAAGGCAAAAATATTTGTGTACTTGCGGTTCAGACTCAATTTCTTTAAGAATTAAAGCCGACTTATATATGAAGTCTATAACAACAGCTCGAGGTGATCCATAGAAAGATTACGAACAAGCCAAAGGTAGCTGGCTTTTCAGAATGCTGAGGGAAACTTACCTTCAGTGGTTTTGTTACAAATTCTGATGCCACTCTGTGAATTTGCTTAAAGTCGGATTCTGACGCCTGTTTTTGAAAATGCGCCGATTGTCACCATTTCCTCATCACAATATTTTCACATGAGTCTTGAGTTGCATGATGAAGAAATTCTCGTTTCAAGATGGACTGATTAAAGTTTAAGGATTGAACTTCATGCTGTTATTTTTAAGATCAGAAAACACGACAGTCTTAATTTTTTATTTTTGCTCAAGTTAGTTTGAGTAAACAAATTCCCTATATCGCAGTACTGACATACCTAGATTTCTATTTTGGTTCTTCTGATCAATCATAGTTAATAGAGGGGACCCTCTATTAACTATGGATCAATAGATCGTTTCAGAATTAGGAAAATGCAGCTAAATGTTTTACAAAATAAAAACTCACCCATATTTTATTTATTTTACTGTTTTTTTCTCATAGCGGAAACTAACGTCATTTGGGCTTTCATGTTTTCATGCTGATTTTCTTTTGATTGTGACGGTACATTAAAATTAAGGTCAGAACCTCTGAAAGCTTAAACACGAAGGCGCGCTATAAAAGGAACCTTAGGTCCCACTGGACCATTTGTCAATCAACCGTCGTGTGATGTAGAACTCTTAGAGTCAAGTCAGCTTGAGCTACAGCTACTCCAAAGCAGTGAACAGCGAGCGCATTCCTTAAAATTGTTTTATGTCTTCATCACAATACAAGAATTTTTGAGATTTGTGTTTCCTTTCTCCATTGGAAACTGTCTTTATTTGTGGCGGTAAATTTGAGATCGAAGTAGGTGGTTCGCACGTTACTTCATGCCACCATGCTGGTGGAAGTAAACAATAGATATCTCATTAGCTCCTTTTGATCCTCTACCAGCATTTAAATTTGACCCGCACATGTCAACGGTGAGTGACAAATGAGCCTGGGTCTTACAAGGGAAGACTTCTTTATATAGCGCGTCTTCGTGTTTAATAAATTCCGGAAAAGGAGGAACAATAAGAATCGCGAAGACAAGATTGCCTTTTTGTTCGTCTTCCTTTTCACCATGCATTTGCACGACCAAAAGAAAAAAGGTGACGCGTGCATTGCAGTGAAATGCATGCAGTCAATGCAAGGCAAGGAGTGAAATCAATTACATATGTAAATTAATTTTTTCCTCGTGAAATTGTTATCATAAATTGAAACCATTTCCAACTGCTCGACAACAGAGAATGAATTTCAGCTCGGTAAACTCGTTCAGCATTGCTTTATCCGTTATAATTTTCATCTTGTTCACCTTTACTGTATTCTTCGTCGCTTCAATTATATGCTATGCATTCTACAAAGATAAGAACCTACGAGTATCTACAGCGGTGCCAGTCATAAACCTTTGCTTCGCTGGTTTGTTTCTTGGATTTGTTTCAGGAGTGTTCACGCTGGTAATCGATGTTATACAGATTATCAAAGTTACTGAGCTTGGACACTGCGTGAAAGTTTTTACTGAAGAGTTTGCAATCAGCGTTTACTTCCAGGCACTGTTTCTAATAAGTTCAACAAGATACAGTTTGGTGTTGTGTGGAAGAAAGCTCGCCCGAATGACTGTTAAACAAACCACATTATGCAATAGCATTTCGTGGTTAATTTCTGTTGCTTACGCGAGCCTTGTGACATTTTTCCAGCAAGAACTTAGAGCAGATGTGAACACATATTCTAGAGGGGTTGCCGCAGCACAATTTGCATTCCTCGGCTTTTTACATTTCGGAACCTTGTGCATCTATGCTAACTTAGTAATTTATTTCCATCAGAAGACGGACATCTTACCACCCGATTTTTACAGCTTAGACTCAAGCAGGAGACGAATGGCAGAAAGGAATATTCGCGTATCGGCCAAGAACATTCAAATGATAGCTTTAATTGTACTAACACTGTGTTCATGTCATCTGCCATATCTTGGATGTATTACGACTGCGATGTTTACTGGGCAGCTGTCACACGATGCTAAAGTATGTGCTATCGTTTTGATGCAGTGCGGGATTTTTGTTAACTTCGTTATCTATGGCTATCTGAACAAGACTTTAAAACGAGTTATTCGACCAATGTTATATCGCTTGGTGGACAAAATCACCCACAAGAGCAGAAGAAGAAAAATCAACGAGCGACTACCGATGAACAATCTTTCTTACAGCAGGTTTAGTTTAAACATTTCCAGCAATGACACCTACGAGTTAACACGCAGTAGACTTGCATTTTTCAACCGGTAATATGCTCCCAGTTTCCAGAGGAACTTAACTGTATTGGCTGAGTATAACGCTGTTCCTAAGTTTCGCCTATAATTTAAGTGGGGTGGTCTTGAGAACCATTAATAATGACACGTTGCACTCGTAGATCTACGTAGGAAATTTTTAAAGAAACAAATACTTATTTTAATATGTTTTATTGAATTTCGTCAATAAAGATTTGAACAGAAGCTCAATAATTGCAGTAATTTACAACTGAAAGAATACGAGCAAATTATTCCATATGCCATGAAGACAATAACGAAGTAGCCGCTGATAGTGGCCGCTCTACGAGACTTAACGCAAATAAACCATGACAGAGTCTCCTACGCTATCAAAACCTGGTTACCAGCCTTCTCGCTTCCTTCACAATCTCAAAAATTCCACCTGTGAGAAATGTGGTTACAAAACGAACTAGTGGCTACAAATTATTGACGAATAAGTAAATATTAGCTAAAAACGAAACCTAATTCGTACAAGACATGATTGAGTTGGCTTTTCAAGCCACAAAGCGATAACTTCTTAAAAACCCTACCAAGTATTGTAGAAATAACACCGATTGCATAAGGAAAAAATAGTATATATATGTGATAATTTATAATAACACGATTCATCTGAAGTATACTATGATTCAGCACTCTAACTAAATGTCCTACAATCTTACACTAGACCCATTACCTACAATTTCCGTCAGACGCCGGAAAACTCTTGCAGTTGGAAAGTTCAACGCGACCATAGGAGTTGAAAGGGTTATTCTATCAACAGTTCCATCGACCCTTTCCACAAGTAGGTGTAGATCTCATTCGATTGATAGCTGACCTCAGACACACCGAGAAACTCACTTTAAGTCACGTAACGCAAAAAAGATACCAGATCTACATCTGTCACGCTGTCTTGACCTTCAGGGCAGTGCCTCACAGTCCTCATCTGTACTTTTTGGTAAAACTGTCATGTACTGTCTTTACACAACCCTAAATATGGCTCTAATCTAGGTGTATTGTTATTTTTTTTTTTACACAATTTCTCGAGTTAAAACACATCTTGGTGTCTCCTGATGGGTTGTAAATTTCCAGCCTTTCGCGTGGGTTCAAGACTCGTTGCTCCTTTCTGGAATGAAGAACTAGAAGATCCTTTTGAAAAGCCTTCATCGTACGAAAATAATTCTGAAAATAGTAAAAAAAAAGATTTATTATTTGCAGGAGAGGCTAAATAAAGAATATATGAAACACACTGGTGATTTTCCACCGCCTCACTGTCTGATTGACTGAATAAATGTCCAGCTGGATGATTCACTGACCACACGCGCGGGCTAATCAACTGAGCGACTGACTAACTGAGCGACCGACTGCCTGACTATCCCCCCCTGAATCACAGTTTGGCCACCTGACTGACTCATCGTCTACTGACAGTCTGACTGACTGACCCGCTGAAACCAACTGACTGACTCTGCGATCGACTTAACTGATTGAGTGACTAACTGGACGACGGACGGGCGGAAGATGGACTGATTTAATCACAAGTACAAACAAAGCGAATCTCACCTTCCGATCTGCTGGCCGATAAGGACTGGGAACCAAGACCGGAATCAAACCCTGAGTCTTGCCGCCCATCGAGTATCTCGAGTACATCTCCTCTGCGCATGTCGTAAAGAACCTGCCGTAGAGTTTTGATGTTGCCATCAGCAGCCTGGGGAGAGAAGAACAAACCAAAAAGATTGATCACCTTTGATGGCTGTACTTCACATTTCATGACATAATAGTAGAACTCTCGCAATTTTGAGCTAAGCGAGCCAGCATCCTTTACACTTATCAAACGCCCAACCCACCGAGGCACAAGGTGGTTTAGAGCGGCGAGCTCAAAATAACAAACTTGCTTTCTGCGGTTAAGTACAGTCGCCAATACAAAACATCCAATACATCGAGCTCGATAAAGTTCACTAACCAACATATTGTTCCCTAGCTGAGCTCGTAAAGATTTTTTTGAAAACATTACTTTCGTTTCCCAGACTTGATGCCACGACGCAAATCACATGGCCCGAGCAGGAACCCTATCAAGCCATGAAGCAGTCCTGTGACGAACAACAAGTAACGACAACGCAATTTGTCCGAACAAAAAGGCTTGAAAATTCTCAAAACGCACCCAGAACAATTCAGTCGGCTCTAGAAATTGATTAACGTGAACTTCAGTGATCATGCACAGATCTCCCCCAGCAATCAAGCAGTTGCTCAAGCTAGCAGAAGCTCCATCCCACTTCCCTTTCTTCAGGACTTCATCTATATTCCATAGTTTTTCTAGGTCTTGGAAATTGGTTTGCAAATTTCCTTCCTTTTTCAAGAACTCAATACTCTGCTTAATGTCACAATTGAAGCTCTTTTATTCTGAAGCAAGCCTCTCTTCCCTAATCGACAATAAAGTGAGGATTTCCTGTACGTTTTTACGCATGCTCACCTCATATTGAGCCAACACCTGTGTAGTTGGACTTGAGTGAATTGCGAACGCATTCTCCAATGTCCCTAGTCCCAGTCTCCTTCCCAATTCACGCCAGTCCGCTCCACCTCCAGTGGTGGGATCTAGTTTTTGAGCCATTTTTCGTCTGACGTAAGGATCCAGTTTATCCATATCACCTGTTGAAGGGTTAAAAAAAAAATGAGCAAGTTTAATCCTTCGCCCTTTACACCTTAACATTAGTAAATTTTAAGCTCTTCGACATGAAAGTCGCAAACTCCGATGGCTTCAGTATGTACTATAATATCCTTACTCGACCGAACGCAAGTCTATTCTAATTCTTTCTTGCAATTTGCCTTTTGCCGCAAACCCTCTCGCTGCTCAGTTACCTGAAGATTTTAAGTAAATTTTAAAAGCTCTTAGACATGAAAGTCGCAACCCCTGATGGCTTCAGAATGTAACATAATATCGTACCTTGTCCGAGCGCAAGGCCAGTTAATCCACGTGTTAAATCTAGAAGCAAAGAAAGAGAAACTTAATAGTTGAAGTCACCACATAAAGCCGTAATTTTTTGGACAAGAGGAAAGACCTGTGTCTGCACTACGTCAGCTATATGTCAGCGCTGCCCAGGAAACCTTTCTCGTGTACCTTTATCTGCATTTTACTCAATGCAAGATTTAAAGGCAAAAAAACTCACCATCGTCTTGGGAAGGATCCGTACTTAGTGTTTCATCGTCATCCAGGATTTCCTGAACCTAGAAGGACACCAAGCGTTCAGGCATTAATGTGAGCTAGGCTTAGAAAGAGCCAGATATACTTTCTTTCGAGAGTCGTTTTTTTCTTAACCTTACTCCGTGAAAGGGCAAAATATGGAGAGTAAAAACTTGGGCGAAAACTGCTTCTTAAGAGACTTACCTCAGCTACATTTGCCAAGTCAAAAGGTATTTCGTCGTCGCTGTTCTGTACTGTTGTATCAGCCCCAGCGGCAACTAACAGCGCTGTCTGGCCCTTGAGCCCACTGGCTGCAGCAACGTGCAGCGGTGTGTTTCCATCGAGTGTAACAGCGTCGACGTCACAGTTTGCCTGATGAGAATGTAAGACATTAATTATATGTTTATAAAAATCCTTGCCATCAAAACTAATTTTGGTACGCGAAAGGAGCCTAAGACCTCATACGTCAAAGACGTAAAACCAAAATCAACGTAATCAAGAAACCAATCAAAACGATGGTAATATCTTAAGCAACCAATCAGAGTCACACTAAATGGATTTTCGCGGCCTGAAGCGCGGAAAAAATACGAGTGAGGACGTCGCGATTGGTTTTTGCTTTGCAACTGATTGACTGAAAGGGTGGCGCAAGTTTACTGGAAAAATCGGGCAGTAGAGTGAATCTAACGTATCTACTGAAAATCCATAATGTGTTTCATTACTCGATTGTAAAAAGGCCCAAGATGATAAGGACCTGATCATGTTGTTTACCTCAAGAATGAGAAATCCAGCCACGGCCAGATTGTCTTGTTCAACTGCATGATGAAGTGGTGTCTTACCACTAGTGCCATCCTAAACAGTGACAAAATAAATTATTGCTAAGATTACAAAGGATAAATACTTATCTTCCCAAACAAAAACTTGCCATTTTCAATGGACTTGCTAAAAAAACAGATGCCGCCATTCTTATGACAATGAAATCCCTAAGCAACAAATATCATTAACTTGAGATTTTTAGGAATTTTTCTCGCGGTTGATTGTGGAACCAAGTTGTTTAACATAAGAAAGCTGAAAGTGATAAAATACCTGAGCGCTCATGTTGGCTCCTGCAGAATTCAGCAGTTTAAGGACGTCTTTACTGCCCGCTAACACTGCTAGATGCACTGGCGTTAGGCCTGAAAACAGTTTAACTCATTAGTAATTTAAATGTAATCCTTTACTAACCTACCCTTGTTCTAGGGATTATCTCATTCGAAAAAGGGGACGCAAATCACGTATTCAAAACAGAAAGCGCGAAGCAAGATAAGTCATGACCAACACTAAGAAACTTGAGGCGTGAGTAGTCCAGTGGTCAGTGCGCTGGACTCTGGGTTAAACGGCCCGGGTTCAAGTTCTGGCTGGGGCTTAACGTTGAGTCCTTAAGCAAGACACTTCACTCACATTGTTTCGTCTTCTCGGATAGGACGTAAAGCCGGAGGTCCCGTCTCTTAAAGGGTAAGGGGTAAAAGACGTTAATTTCCCACGCACGAGATTACTGTGTGCTGGATGTCCTTCCCTGGGGTGGGTTGGGTAGGAAAACAGCAGGTCCACATCAGGTCTACATCAGCTTATACAGTTGCCAATAAATTCAACCTGCTTGAACAAATAAACATGATGATGATGATGATGAGATCCCCTACGTCTTCCAATAAGCCTTAGATAAAACTGATTCTTTGGTCAATTCTCACCTTGGTAATTCTGCCAGTTAAGAACAGTTTTTGACACATTATAGTTCAACATTGCTTTCAGACAGACAGCATCTCCGTGCATGCATGCAATGTGCACAGCGGTGTTTCCATGACGATCACGTGATCTAGCATTTGCCCTGGCTCTTAACAGGCAGTCCAACATGCGCGGTTGCTTAGTGATAGCGGCGAGATGAAGAGGGGTCTGTGAAAAAAGAACAAGTAGAGATCTCAAATAGGGAACCATGAACAACCTACAAAATCAAGCTGCCAGCAATTGAACTCATCTTTCGAGGAGGACGTAACAGAGCAGAGAAAGAGACAAAACTGGTATGGAAAGTTATACGAAGTATGCAGAGGATATGGAAATCGAATCTACCAGGGAGCTCAAAATGAGGATACTTGCATTTTGCAATAGTCATGGAGTACGAATCTACTCCTTTTATCCCCTGAAAGGTTCACTAGACCAATTTGTTCTCCATAACTCAAAAATCATGTCAGTTGGAAAGAGTATATGACTGGAGAAAGTTGATTAAAACAAATTCAGATCACTACTTAAGGATGACGCAATATGACTCACTTGTCTCAGGAAATTGTATTCACTGACAAATGACTCTGGCAGGCCAGCCATGATATCTAACAAACACTGGACAACTTCTTGGCGAGCATTTAACACAGCAAGGTGAAGGGATCTGTAACAAAGACGACAACACGGTCAAATGTCAGTAGATATGCTGGAAATGAACTGTGGTACTCGAAACTTTGTTATTATTTCTCAGCCTTTTGATAAGTGATCGTACGTACGTGTCACCATTGTCATCTTGCACAGCGGTTAAATCCCTCTGAACAGCAAGTAAATACCGCACGTCACCAGTGGCAGCAAAATCGCGCATGGCAGCTGATGATTTCTCGGCAAGATTCCATGCTAATTCTCTGAGATCTGTAGTAACAGCAGCAAGAAGTTAGAATAACAAAGACGATACATCTGCGTAAAAGCTTGGTTATCAAGTAACCAAAGTTGTTATTTTGAGTACCTTTGGGGGAATGTCACCCCAAATCTTCAGACGTTTTGCTCACATTCTCTACAACTAAGCTACAAAGACCTCTGGCGAGCTAAGCCATATACAGAGTACTTAGGTTCAAACGTGTCAAACTCCCATCATACAGCAAAGATCAGTAAACCACGTACACAGCCAAGCTCATCAATGACTTCTCCGCACCTCAGCAGTAGAGACTTGAATATCAAGATCTAGACGCCTTGGGCCCCATTCGGTGAATAAGACTTAGATTTTTTTCTGAGTCATGCACTCGTGCCAAACACACATCCTTCTTTAAATGATTATCCTATTTCTTCAGCTTCTCTTTTTGAATGAGATTAACACATGTATGCATGAACCATTAATTTATTGAACAACAAACAAAAGTCAGACTAACCTGCTTCTTGCGACTGTCCAGCTGCATTTGTCTGTCCAGTAGAATTTAACTGTGTCTGTCGTGATGAGCTTCCATCTCCTACAAAATTTATAAATAAAAAGATGTATCAGTTATTCAATTCAATGGCCATAATATAGCAGGAACTGTTTTGTAATGACTAATCATCCAAAACTATACTTCATGATAACATTTAACCAAATGAATACTGTTGGTCTTGTGATCTTAAAAAAAAAAAATGCCTACTTATGTAACTTTGAACAAAATGTATAGTACTTAATTGCTACAAATCAAAATTGTGATTTTTTTTTCATTTCACTTTTCTGTTCATTGACTACGACAGATAAGCTTCACATGTGCTAAGTGTTCGTCCCAATATAGAGCACAGACAAAATCATAATTTATATACAAAAAAAAAAAAAATCCTTCTTTTTTTTCCTTTGATACCCCTGAAATATAACTGAGCAAAATACAAGGCACTATGAAATTTATTGGACACTATTAAACATTACAACGAACAATGATGAATGAATTGTTTACCTTGATTGCCTGACTGAGAAGTTCCTGAGTTTGTATTAAAGGCTAAAAAGCCCATAGGTTGTGCTACGAAGCTACCAAAACCAAAATTAAAGCCGCCACCACCACCTCCTCCTGCCCCACCCATGCCAGGGCCCCCTCCTGGCCCACCACCACCAAAGTAGTCAGAGAAATGCGGGATCTTCTTTCGCCTTTTGGCACCAATTTGCTCTTTGTCTGATCAGAAAATGAAATAATTATCACTGATTGTAAATTTTGCAACTACTATTTATGACAAACACTGCTGATTGGTGTTGCCAGACTGAGATTGCCCCGGAAATTAGGATGGACCTAAGAAACTCTCCAGCTAAAAGCATGCAAAGTTCCAAGTAGGAATTGCAAAACTGACTTAAATTGACAGTTTCAAGCTCAAAAATTGATGACAATATGGCAAGTGAAATAACCACAAGTCATAACAGCAAGCTTAAGTTCAGCTTAGAAGAAGATTCAGTGAAACCAATAAGTGTTCATAAATTTACTTTTGAATAAAAATTTTAAGGAGCATGTCACGATACTTTAAATGATATTTTTCCAAATACATGTTAACCAGAATACCAGGATAGGCATCCTCCAATGAATAATCTGATTCTCCTAAAAATAACCTCATGACATACCAAACAACTGTGGTTGATAAGTGAATTCCACTGGGTCACTTGTCTCCTGATCAGACTTTCGCCGTAGCTCAAGTTGTACCTTCACAGGTTGCTCAATAGCTACATTCCAGTAAGCAGGAGTTTTGAAAACAATTGCAACCTGAGAGTGGGAAGAAAAAGGAAACAAAGCACAAGTCAAAAATGACATGAACCTTTACTCTAGGGAATCTATGCTACTGGGTTGCTAGCATTTTACTCAATATTTACTTACGTATTGGGAGGCGTGGTGCCCTTACGGTTATTGCCCTTGCTGGAGACATCATATTGTGTTATTATTTAAGACACTTTACTCTGACTCACAGTGCTTCTGTAACCCTGCAATAGACTAGCATCCCATCCAGGGGGGAGTAGAAATACACCTAGTCGCTTCATGCTGCAGAAACTGGAGTTAAGCCCCAGCCTGAAGGGCCACTTGGCTCATAAACAGACTTTGCCTTACTTACATGTTACTGGAGAGGTTTTATTTTGGGCACACACATACTCTTTACAGTGACTAACAGAAAGCTTTGAGCTCTACCATAACAGAGCAGCAGTCTCTATTTCACAATCACCTGTCTATGAACATCTGTAGGGGCAAACACTCCACGATCTTCCCACGTTTTTTTCCCAGTTTCCATTTCAGTTTCATAGAATATAACCTCAATATCATCTGCAAGACAAAGCAAGATGTCATGTCATGTCAATTTTGGCCTAATGAAAAAATATAATTTTTGTATCGTTAGAAATTCACCCTTGCAAAACTGAGAACTTTAAAATCCTCAGCAGCACCATCTGACACTCACCTTTTTGTACTTTATCACACAGCAAGTACACCTCGTCAGATCCTGAGACACATCCAGAGTTGCGATCCATGCGGCAAATCTTTAGATTTGAGGCTGATGGGGCCTCTACAAAAATAAGTGAATCGTATTAACTTCTTGACCTCTAGAGGAGATTCAAATTAAAGTTTTCCAAAGAATTGTGAAAACACTGAGGTTTTAAATGATTGATGGACCTTTTAGCAAGTTTCTCAACCGTGGCTTTTTGAAGTAATTAGATCTTTTTTTTCAGTGCTTAATATGAGCTCTTTTGACAGTATGCCAAAACTTGAGGTTTCGTTGATATTTTCCCCTTAACCCTTAAACTCTCACAAGTGACTGAGACAGAATTTCCCCTTACGATAACAATACAATATCAAGCAGACAAATTATAGGAATAAAGAAAAATGTAAATTAGGGAGTCAATGGTTGATCCAATACTGAATTCTCCAAACAAACATCATAGGAATTGTATGGCAGACTAAAAGGAGTATTACTAATGTGATCTTGGGAGAGAAAGGGTTGAGATTGTTAACAACATGGTATAAATGAATAGGGGTTAAATATATCTTATTAACCAAGCACGAGGGCCGTACTGAGAGAATATCAGCCCGAGGTCTTGACAGTACAGACCGAGTGCAGCGAGGTCTGTAGAAAAAAGACCGAGGGCTGATATTCTTCCAGTACGGTCCCGAGCAAGCTTGGTTAATAAGAGATTTATTATACGACTGAAGTTCAAAGGGACACAAGTGCGGTATCGTTCGGGACCATTCGGGACAGTACCCCGTCCAATAATTAGAGAATATTGGACTGGCAAAGGAGCATTTTGATTGGTTGATTTTAGTTATTGGCCCGCTGACTGCCCGAGTCGTGCAATAAACTCTGTTATTAAATAACTGGCCCTGAGCCTTAATTAACCAAATGAAACAACAGTCAACATAACTCACTTGAATCATAAACTGGGTTGGAGATGCAGGGGTGTAAAGCTTTTGTAAAAGCACCACTCTCATCAGGAAGAAATGCTTGAAAACACAGCCTGACAGCATTCAAGTTCATACTCTGCTTTTGTTCTTCCACCATGGTACGAACCTTTTGTGATTCTTCCTCTGATGGAATAAAAAATGAAAACATCAGGAGACTTTATTTCCTGGCAAGACATTACAAGTTGTTTTTAATCTTTTCAAATGCTTAAATTTCAAGATCCTACCACTAAAGTATTATTCACTCGACACAATCTGATTACCAAATGCACTTTTTCAGACAATAAGGACACATTCACCACCAACAATATTGAAAATGGGCCATATTAATGGTTTCAATTCCACATCAGCTAATGGCAGATTCACAGCACAAGAAAATATCGTAAGAATTCATGAAATATCTATCACACCTGCCACAGCTTCTGCCAAGTGTTTATCAAAAGAACTTCTGTCGCCATCGACATGGTCTCCTAATACTGTCACATCAAACCCTTTGCCATCTGCTGATGTCAGGGCATTTAATGTTGCTGTGTGAAGTGTCTGCATCTTGATATATCGATCCATGAGCACTTTACCAACCATTTTCTTTGTGACGTGTTCAATACCAAGATTGGGGAACCTAAAAGTCACCAAGGTAATGAAGTCAGCATAGCTTGCTAAATCAAAACAAAGTTTGTACTGTTTTGAAAGACCATCATGAAGTGTAAATATGTCAACATGAATGCCACTTTTTCCTCACAACATCAATTTCACTCCTTTTAAAAGAAATCTTTATCCCTTGGGCACACAGTGTTCATCATTAAAACTTTAAAGTGTTAGATCTGACCTAAATAAAAAAAGGCTTAAAAAAAATTTTGCTTTAATACTTCTTTTTAGCATTCTCTCAAGTCAGATCCAACATTTTGAAGTTTTAAATCTTTACCCCACTATCTTGTTTTTCCAAACTGTGGTAATACATCAAACAATGCATAAAAAAAGCTCTGTGTCTTTTGATAGACTCAGTGATTCTCCTTTCAAATTTTCTAGTTATAGATATTGTACATTCCCCTAAAAAAACTGAGGAAGAAGAAGATTTAGCATAAACTACTCACGTTGCTGTCATTCCTTGTTCTGGGCCAATCTGTACTGTTACAACTCCACCAGCAGAGTTCTTGCCAATCAGACTGTGTGCATGAGGCATAGGAGGCTCATCTACAGTCACTAACGATACCACAATACGCGCAGGGCCTTGGTAGTTACACAGCTGAACAGAAGGATATGATTTTTTTCCTTTCTCAGAATACTGCCCTGGTAGACCACCATGAGATGGGCCCTCACAAGGATAACGGAAACGGAAACCTCTCTGTGAAAGCAAATATTATGGTTTGGTATTGGTCAATCCTGCACATGTAATCATCTGAGTGTGTGAAAATGTCGGTGAGAGGAATTGTTTTCATGACCAATACTAAATACATGTTTTAAAAAATTGTGGGGAAAGTCAAATTCAAAGTTGAGTAAAAAGTTTTTTTTATCCTTTTTCTTCACCTACTGAAGGTTTTCATTTGGTCTGCAAGAAGAGATTAGTCAGTTGTTCCAAAAAAAGACGTTACTGGTTGTAAGACTAGTGGCACTACTTAGTTTTCAATCTCTAGGTAGAGTCATCTACTTTAATAGAATTGGTTACCACTCAGGCAAGTGATGAATATCTCAGGGTAACAGTAAGGCCAACTCAACCAAAGAGAAGTCAGTTTATCTCTCAAAATCAAAGATTTAATTTAATCAGAGGTCTGAGATTGCTCAGCCCAAATGTTACGATAACAATACCGTGCTCACCTGTTTAGGTTGTTCAAGAATTTCCATATAAGGTCCTATGAAAATGCATGATGAAAAAAGTTGCAATACTTAGATGTAACATATTAGTATCAATATTTTTCTAGAATGTTTTTCACACCCTCTTTAAAAATTGTTTCATTAAAATAGAGCGAGTAAATAAACTGAACTGCTTCTGCATATACTATACCTTTACTACAACTGATTCCTATTGAAAATGACAAACTTAAACTAAATTCAAATTGAAATTCAAGTCTCTTCAAGTTTGGCACAATTATCAAACAAGTCTCTGATTTTGTTATAAAAGTACATTTGGGTTTAATCTCCTATCCACACCAAGCCACTTTCCCAGGGACAATTTTGTTACAAATATTAGAGGATGTCAACACTTGCAATAACTAGTTTGGATAACTGAGAAACAAAGAATGATTCAAATTCTGAGGATTTATGTTACTACAAACAGTAATGCATAACGCTGGAGAACTAAGTTACCTTGGTATGATGCTGTGGGCACCTGCAATGCTGAGATGTCAGGTAGATATCCTGGTGTCAGGAGATCCATCACAAAACTGTCCGTAAGAGTTTCACCAATCTGCCTTTCCGAGTTGGTTGCCATGGTAGCAACTGGTAGAAATGAGGCTCCTACAATTTTGATGTATCTCTATTTGCTAGTTCTAAAAAATGGCAACACCATTTTAAATAAGTAATGAAACTTCTTTAAGTCACAGTTAACGAGTTGTTATATCTAAAGAAAAGTGAATTGTCAAAGAAACCCAGAGACAAAGTTAAGGGATTGTAAAACAGAATTCACTGTGACCGAGGAGAAAATCTATCATATGAATGTATTACTTTATTCATTCATTCTTTTCATTCATTCTTTTATTCACACTTATTCTACTAAAAATACAACAACGAGAAAGAGAAAAAGTAGGAAAAAAAAAAAGAAGAGAGTTCTAACTATACATGTTTATCTGCATAACTGCATTTTCCATAATTTATCTGCATTTTTTCAGTAACCTTGAAATATTTGGTCAGATACATGTTCCACTTTGTAAAATAGAGCTTATATTCACAATTTACCAAATGATCAGAGCAAGATATGATGTGAAAAACTCATCAGTCAATCAATACACATGCTTCTTATCACTGTTTATGAGCAAACCTCCTAGTAATCAAGATTACATTGAAGATCCAGTTGTTTCTTAATTACAACCTCACAAACATGATCATAATAAGTTTTGGACTCCATTACTTAATTTGGAACAAGAAATAAGCATTCTATCATTGTAAACGTATTTAGTAAAGGCTGTATCTCGTAGGACCATTAAACCAAATTAACATAACTACAGACATGTAGATGAAAATTAACTTAAAGTTAAGTAAAAGTGATTTTAAACTTGTTAGTTTTCTCTTCTCCTTTATTCAGAGTACCTTGCAGTAGCTTTTGAGCAAAGAATAACACAAACTAAACTTTTTTGTATTTATTTAGCCCTGAAATTATTTCAAACTACAACATGTACATGTATTTATGTCCATGTATTCATTTACGTTTAGTAGCTAGATGTTGCAAACGTATCAAGTTACGTTGCCCTTACATCACTGAAAATGCCTCATAAAACACACATTTAATGGCGAAATGGGGTTCAAATTTAACTTTAATACAACAGGAACCATCCAAGGTTTATCATGTATGTATCATGATCAGTTTGTCACAAGACATGAGAGCGCTAATTACCCTGATCAGTCAGCGTCCTTTTCAACATAGTAGTTACAGTATAAGATACGACACATTGAACAAGGCTAAGAAGAGTGAGAAAAAGGATACGAAAAAATCTTATCAACATGCTGATTAAGCACATGTTTTAGCACTGATCGTGACTAAGACATGCACGAAGGCAACTACATAAGCGCACTTCGCTTACGATTAAAGTCTAACATTTTCGAGGCTGAAATCATATTAGCATGAGGCTTTCACGTTTGAGCGTGCCGTACGGCTGTAAAAAAATGTTTCAGAGTTCAATGAGCTTCAGCCATTTCGCTCTACAAACAGCCAATATTGGAGAATAATTTCCTCAAAGGGTACTATTGATTCAAATGACAAGAGAAAGCAAAGAAAACAAGATATATAACGAAGACAAGCTACAAAGATGCCAAAATAAGAGAAATCCGCCCACCTGATAACTTTGTCAGCCTTTTATCCTTAAAACTGTTAGATTTTCTTTCTCTTGTCAACTTTTAGAATATAGACACAACTGAAATTTTCCACCAACACATGTGAAAACCGAAAGAATCGGTTCAGTTTATAGTCTCCATTCCGCCCGACCAAGGGACTTCCCCGTTCCATTTCTGCGCTTTCTGATTGGACATAAACGAGCATGTGATCAAATTTGCTCGGTGATGCAATGACGCATGATTCAAATATAACTTTTTTGCGCCGGAAGTGATGTCGTTCAGAGTTTCAAACAGCAAGTAGAAGGGAATTTTCCCGTACTTTCAATATAAACAATTCAAGCAAAAAAGCACCTAGTCGTGTATCAAACTATCTGTGATGTAATGAAAATTATGCTTATAATCTTCAGGAAGTAACAATGGTTACTGAATGTTCCTTGAAAATGTCCCATCAATAAAAAAAGCGAATTTGTCTTAGCCTGAAAAGACTAAAAATGAAAAAAATAAAATAAATGATAAAAATTGAATAAAAAGTAGAAAATAAAGTTTAAGCCGTGCTCTTAGAATATACCATTTGTAAGAGTAACTTTACGGAAACTTATTGCTATCAAGTTAGTGGTAAACGTTTCGCATCTATCTACTCTGTCCGGAGTGGCTTGCAGATTTATAATATTTAGTGTCCCCATAGGAATGTTGCTTACAGCAGCGAAATCTGAAAATATCAAAAAAAGGAACAATTTTAAGTCATGTAATTGGACGTCAACCATTATTCTAGTACTCTTTCTATGTCGATTTGTGTATATCAGCTTTGTGCCGCTCTGTTAAAAGGGTACGCTCTGAAAACGGCATAGGTTTTGACCACTTTGAAACTCCACAAGAGCGAATAAACGTACTTGTCTTTTTAACTCCAAATAGAAACAGAGAGAGAGAGAGAGAGAGAGAGAGAGGGAGAGAGAGAGAGTAGTGCAACCAGTCCAAAAGGTAAAACAAAAGCTGAATCTTTCGTGTGTATTTTGTCAGAGATTGAATTTTAGGCACTAATGCAAAGCTTAACAAGGTGTGATTCGGAAACCAAATGTGCCGTTCAGAAGCAGGTCCAGGCCTGAAAACGGATGTGGGAAATGATACGCTTTGGTCTGAAATAGAGTTAGAATATGGCAAGGCGAGCTGAGGACCCTTTCCCAAGAATTCCGCGGAGCAGCCGAAGGGGGGGGGGGGGAGGGGGATGAAGGAATTTGTGAGATGAGCACATAATCTTCTCTGGTATTTTTGGATGATTCAGCTTTCGATGCGACTTTGTAACCACGACTTGTCGACCTCGCACATTTTCAGTTTCGTCGAAGGTATGGCTCGTTCCAGGCGTTCAATGGCAAGACTGTGACACCAGCGTCATCATTGATGCGCACAATTCAGCGGATCGAGAAATCAAGGAAGGGGGATTAACCGCTCGGTCGCTCGATTGAGAGCCTGGGACAGACTGGCCACTCGGATGGAAAAAGCATCCTCAAAAACCTTCACGAAAGAACTAGAAACAGGAGCAACAACAACCGTTAACCCAGCAAAACATCATTGCAGTGGAGCCTGGAACTGAACAAGAAGTGGCTTCCAAAATCCATCAGCAAGAATAGATCATTTTCACTCTTCGCAACGAAAAAATAAATCCAAAACTATTCAGTGGATAAGGTCAAGAAATTTTAATTTTTTAGGAAATAGTAAGGAAGACACTCCTTCGAGTCTTGGGCTTTCTCTTTTTTCCAAACCTTAGATATTGTTCGAATTGTTTTGCGCAAATTTAAGTACGGAGCCACCATGTCGGTGCACCTCTTTGGTGCACCAACAAGGCGGACGGAAAATAGTATATACATCTGGGACTTACTTGAGCTGTCTAGTCCACTGAACCAACAAATATTAACACAAGCACTTTTCCTAACACTTAAATTCCTGAAAAGGCTAAAAATCGCTAGATAAGTGTATATTTTTCGAAAAACACGATCGGACAACTCTGAACCTCAAACTGCGCTCGTGTCCAAACCAAGCACGCTATTGAGCTGAAAAGTTAAAAACAGATATGAATTTAGACCCCCTTATGCCTGATGCGGATAAACATTTTCGTGGCCTTTTAGTTTTAAATTTTGGAATTTGATGACGTCACGTTAAAACGATCTATTGAATGGCTTAACATTGGAGAAGTGCTCGTAGCTGCCAAACTTCAAAGAATACTATTTCAAAGAACACTTAAATGAGAACAGGACGATCAACAGCTACTAACAAATCGGAACGGCTTTGCGGTTTAATTGTGGGCAACCGCTCCCGTCACTGAAGAACTCTTTCCAGATGTCCCATAGACGACTCCATTTGTGGCGCTTCTCAGACCCTGTCCACACGTTTCCGGATATTTTCGAAAACGGAGATTTTTTTCTCCGTATTCGAAAACATCCGCGTCCACACGAGCCATAATACAATCGCATTTGCCCGTCCACATGTAAACGCGAAAAATACATAAGGAGGATGCACAGGCTAGTGGCGCATACGCTCTGTGATAAGAATGACGGCTGCTTTATTTCAATGTGGGTTCCATCTATGGCACCCAAACACTGTGGAAAGCCATGTGCTTTGTGGAAGTTTTTTACGTGTTGTTGTACTTCACTGTCAGATCCTGGGAGCTTGATAAATGTGGGGCCTAGGTACAGGGTAATTGCTCTGCACACTTTCCGGACGATTTTCGATACAACTTGGCGAGATAATCCGAAAGCATTGGCGGTTTTTCTCATCCTTTCTATCATCACCAAGGTAGTACAATGTCAGAGCCACTTGTTTTTTTCACATCAACGGCTGATCTCAAGATGGTGTCCTCTCCTTCAATATATGGTCTCAGCTGGCCTGCTAATTTGTAGAGGGACTCTTTTGACATTTTAAAATTCTCCCTCCACTCTTCGTTGATGACGATTCCGTTAACGAAGTTGTCCCACCACACACTGGTTCGATCCGGTCTTATCCAAAATCTCCGAGGCCGCCTGCAAGCTCGCCGATTTAGTCGTTTTCAGTAATGGCGCTGTTTTGGTTGCAGGAAATGAAATAAGACGCATAATACCAAGCTTTCTCCTTGCATAGTCACCCTGTAGGTTTGTGTAGGCGAACTGTAGTTGTAGAAGGGTAATAAAACTCGAGATAAGGCCAAGTAAGGGTGAAACTAGCATTAGGTTGATCGTCGCCATGTCAATGATAATTTGTGGCCGAGTGCACTGGACCCTAACTTTGACGTCATCGTATTCGAAAACCTTTGTTTTCGACCGTCTACACGAATACGATAAATCTCCGTTTTTAAAAATCTACAGTCTGGAGAGCGTATTCAAAAATTTCCGTTTTTATCGCCAAAAACGTCGTTTACGTGGGGACGGGAGGTGCAAACGGAGAAAAAAATCTCCGTTTTCGAAAATATCCGGATACGTGTGGACAGGGTCTCTTAGTTTAATTAATAGGTCCTTGCAAAGGAAAATTTGTGTATCTTAACTTCAATTTAACTTAAAGGTGAACTGAGAAAGTTCCCGCTTTCTAAAAGACTATTTTTGTTTATACTTTAGCCGAAAAATTTCGTGAGATGGAATGAAGCTAAACAGCGAAATAAGAGACTTCATTCGTAAGAAACCTTTTATAACACGTATTTTTGTAGGAAAAAGTATTTTATGAATGAGGTTTTGTTTTTATTTCAGCTAGCTAATCAGCCAAGGTGATGAAATAAGAAAATTGTGGTAACTAATTGCGTGGTTTGCCTTTGACGGTTTGGTGATCGTTGCAAGATACTATGATAATCTTCCTCAGTCTTTGTAAAAGGTCTGAAACGAAAGTACTGAAAGTGCCGACAATGGAATCTCTTAATGAAAACAGTGAATATTTCATGATGTTTGGGGGAATTATAGCCCTTCACGCAATCAACAGTTTTCAACAACATAGCTTGAGATTTCATTCAAGAATAATGTTAACTTGTAAACATTAAACTGCTTCTTAGAGACAGAAGTCTAATGTGTTTACACTTTTAATCGAGATTGTAACTCCGGTGACGAGATTCTATGCGAATCTTAAGCGTGGTTAATTAATTGAAAACTTATAGCGATTGGTCTGTGGTCAAAAAACAACTGAACTCTCTCTAGGAAGAAAAATAAATTAAAAAAGCAAAATAGGCAACTGTGACTCATTTATAATCGTCATTCAGCATGAAATTAAATCCGAAAACCTAGCTGGCGAAACTTCTCGCCTACGACTTGGGTGTGACATCAATTTCTACAGTCGCTTATTTAGCTAAAGTGGTCGCTTCTTCCAAGGGGAACGAACGTTCTTTCCAGTGTCTCGAACAATGAAAGCTGGTACAAGAGATATTTTGATTCGCTTCACTTTGGTTGGTTTGTTTTTATTAATTGGCGCTGCAGTTTTTCAAGTCCTTGAAGGCACAGACCAACACGAACGTGTCATGGAAGAGGAGGCCGACGAAGCAACTTTGGAAAAAATGCGAACAAACTTAAGTGTGAATATGTCGAAAGGGGAATTTGACGATTTAGTGAACAAGCTTCATAAATTTTATGAAGATCATCACCAAAGAGCGTCAAGCTATCAATGGACGTTTTACGCTTCCCTTTATTTCTCATCGAGTGTTATAACCACAATCGGTAAGGTCTAATGTTTTCATTATCAGTTTTCAGGTACAGAGATAGCTTAACACCCATATGATTACTTTTAAGGGTTTTCGAAGGATCCCGTGGGTATACATTACTCTGAAAACTTCCTGTCTTCGCGGTTGTTTACAATTCGGAAGAAAGAAGCACAAATTGAGTGATTCTCTTTAAAACTACCAGAAGCGGGCGTGCTAGTTTGAAATCGCGAGGCCCACTTTCAGAACAAGTACTACTGATTGCAGAGGTTATGTTTGAAACAAGCTAAGTAGACAACACTAAGAATTCCACATTATGTCTAAAGCTCATTCGTTAGCTCATTTGTCTCACTCTCTTCCTTAGTTTTTGCTTTCAAATTGTTAAAATAGCCCGCTGGTAATCTATTTCGGGCGCGTGAATACTTATGTTGGTTTGATCATTCAAGTTTCTCAAGTTTATCATTCTTTTCATTGACCGTTGGATTTCAGTATTGGGAGAGTATTGGAGAATGCTTAAACGACAGTTACAGTCTTGCATTCGATGTCAAGATTATAGTACTTTTAGTAACAGTAAATTGTTCAATCACCAATTCACTTTTATGATCGATCGGCCTCTCGATAGACCACCAAGAGGCAAATTGGTACGTCAGTTTGAAAGTCAGTCAGTTGGTCAGCTAGCCAATCAAATCGTAAGCCAGTCAAAGTCAGTCCCTTGGGAATAAGTCATTGTTTATCCCCTGGGAGTGGGGAAGGGAGGAATAGAGGCTTCTTTTAAAAGCCGGGGATCCTATGGTTTTCAGGGAGAACAGAAGGGGAAACGGTCTTCGCCAACATAGTATTAAGTGGAGTCTATAGAAAACTGACCCCAATAGCCCATTTCCGAATTAGCCTTGGCCTAATTTTCAAAACGAGTCTTGGTGCTCATCCTTTCATATGATAATAAGTTTTCATTCACGTGCAAATTAAACTCATTTTCACAAGAATGGTTGAGCACCGGGCCTCGTTATGAAAAAGAGGCCAAGGGTAATTCGGAAATGGGTTATTAACTGAATATTATAGAGCCAAATGGAGGATCAGGTAAATTTCATCCGATAACTTACACCCCCCCCCACCCCTCTCAAGCAAAAAATAAAGACCGGTCCCTTATTCGGTCATTCACTCAGTCACAGTCAGTCGGATGGTCAGAAAATTTTAATTCAGATTGGTATTCAGTCAGTCCATTTATGGGTAAGTCATTCAGTCAGTTGGTCGGTCGGTTGCACGGTCGACCGTTTTTTTTTTTTTATTTATTTGGTGGTCCAATCAGCGAGTTCGTCGTTAATCTATGATCCCGGTTCACCGTCAGTCAGTTTTGATACCCAGCTATTCACACCGTTCAGTCAGCTAATACCTCGCCTATTACGTTAGTGTAAAAGTCTGTTTACTGAGCCAAGTGGCCCATCATGCCGGCACTTTACCCCAGTTTTCGTGGCATGAAGCGACTAGAAGTATTTAATTCTACTCTACCCTGGATGGGATGCTAGTCCATCGCAGGGTTACCCCCCTAACCGGCTGAATTCGCCGGTACCCATTTAAACACCTGGGTGAAATGAGACACTGTGAGAGTAAAAGTGCCTTGACGAAGAACACAACGCAATGTCCCTGCCCAGGGCTCGAGCCCAGACCACTCGATCCGGAGTCATGATAACCATGAGTCCACCGCGCCTCTCTATTTCGTTTGTGTATTGACGCTCAGTTTTTTGATTTCAGGTTATGGTCACATGGCTCCTTCTACATTTAGCGGCCGGCTCTTTTGCGTTTTTTATGCATTGTTTGGAATACCTCTCTGTATGTTGGCATTGAAATCAATTGGAGAGAGAATCAACGAATTGATCGAAAACGGTTTCATTTTGATCAGTTCAAAGTTCCAGCTACAACAAAACAAAGGCATTAAGATTAAAGTGTTGCTAAGCACTGCTGGCTTGGTCCTTGTCCTTCTCATGCTAGGTGGACTGCTGTATTTGTCAGAGGGCTGGAGCTACTTTGATGGAGTATACTACTGCTTTATAGGTAAGGCTTGCGTTAGTAAGTATAGGAGAGATATTGGTCTAATAGCTCAGAGCACAAAGGTTCTTTCAACATACCATGTTATGTCAGGAGCTCATTACTTATTGGCTCCAAGGCTGATGATTACCCATAACTTTCAGACAGATGAATTCATTTGCTCATTCAATCATTCTTCCATTAGTTCATTAATTCAGTCATTCAAAAGCTCACTGTGTCCGTATGAATAACTTCTTGAAAGCACTGAATATTACCATTCCTAAACCATTCAAGAATAGAAATGTCCAGGTTTATTCTTTGTACATTTATAAAGTACTTATAAATCACCTTTTATGTTATCAGCTTTAAGTACAATCGGGTTTGGGGATATGATACCTAGAAAAGGCCAGGAGCCTTCATCCGGGGTCCAGACGCTGGAGCTCGTCGTCCGGGGCTTCTACATCGTACTAGGCCTCGCTCTTGTGTCGAGTCTACTCTCTGCAGTTGTAGCGGCAGCTGAAGTATTGAACAAGTGGAACAGCTTCAAAAAGTCAAAAGGTGCGTATAACGATTCACTAGGAATTTTACAACAAAGTTCGAGTGATACCGTTTCAATATAACCGTACTCCTTTTCCTTTCCTCTTATAATAACCAGGTCTTTGCTGCCACAGAAGGACGGATGCAAATATCACAGAGGAACTGGGTCCAGCATCCGAGGGTTTGTACACAGTATCTCGCAACCTGGACAACATCGTGTTTCCTTCAGTCATTCCTTTCAGACGATTTGCTTCAGATGGGTCTACACCACTGATCAATGATCCACGCTGGCTCTACTGAGCTTAAGATCTGACTAATGGCAACTAACTAGGGGGTGACAGTAAGGTTGTATTTTGTGTGTGTGATCTGCAAAGGAAATTTTATATCTGAGTGTGGAGAGTGATTTTCTAAGCCCAAAGGCTTAGAAAGGCATAGATGGCATTAACGAACTTCCTAGAGTTAGGCATCTTTTGTTATTGTGAACAGATTAGTCCTGAGAACTTAATTTGATTTACAGATTAGTTTGATACACTAAGGCGTTTAACTGTTAATCGAGAAGTGTTGATAGACGACGTTACTAAAAGCGGTACTTTGTAGTTTTAATGAATCGTGTTAAATACTAACATCAGCGGATAAAAGAATCTGAAATATCCGTAGAAATTGTGGACAAAAAGGATAATTTGATGATGTTGTAGCCGCTTCCGAAACAGCATCATCTTACTGCGTCGATAGAGCTCCTCATGTAATGTGCTTGTGACATGTGTAACGGAAATTAGAGGAGCACCCTGGCACATGTATTTTCAGTGTTTTTAGGTAAAAATTGATAAGACGGTTGACTCTCACTGTTTGTAAAAATTTTGCTTATCAGTTGGATACTTTTTCAAATACTCTCTTAAGAGACCAATGCTAAAAATGTTACACGACGACCGCGCCCATTATTGGCTTGCACAGAAAGTTTTGCTTCAGTGAGCGACAGGTCAAATACTGAAGTTGTCCTCTATAGTCATAAGAGACGCTGATCTAGTCCCTGAAAACCATGTGATCCCGCCCTAGTCTCCATGCATGTCAAACTAAAAAAGGCAATTGACACAAGGTAACACAAAAAAACCTTTACCAAAAGTATGTTTAATAATTTGTACTTGTAATGTAGCCTACAACCTATTTACACTGAGTTGATACAAAAAGATTTGTAGACATCTCTTAATATTTTGAGGTTAAAATAAAATGTATGTTTAATTGAATGAGTTTTGTTTTCTTTCCACAACACTACCTAGACTACTACAAGGGTTTAAATATTTCTATTTATACTGCCCGAGAAGTCCGTAACGAGACACCGTCAAACCATCACCCACGCGCCGTGTTACAACTATCAGTATTTCCCTTTTATTGAGTATATATGATCTCACAAGACTCAAAAGAGTTCAAAATAATAATTGTATAATTTTATATATCTATGCAGTTTTAGACAGACGGCCCGCTCTGCCTATCGTTGCACAAGTACACTGTTTGTCCTCTCAGAGTTCAAAGAGAAAAAGACTCTTCTTGCCTATTTTGTCTAAGATAATCCGCAATACAGTCTACTAAGCTTTGCATAGAAAAGCTTGGAAAGGCTTCCATGAAGAAACAAAAGCTCATGAAAATAAATCACTCGAAACAAAACAAAACAAAACAAATCATTTGTTTTCAGGGAGAGATGAAACTGCGAAGAAAGCCTTTAGAGCCCTGAAAGGAAAAAAGTAATTTTATGTTTTTAAAAGGTGACAAATTCAAACAAACGTATCGTTAAAATACATTTGACGTTGACAATTTCTTACTTGGAAAATTTAGAATTCCTTCTCAGAGAGGTAGAAATATGGGTTTATCTAAGGATTCCTCTTCAGAGAGGTAGAAACATGGGTTTATCTAACTAAACAATAATACCTCTGAAAGAAAGAAAGGCAGTTCTGCGTAACATTTCTACCAAAGCCACGAAGTAAAAAAGAGCTTTTTCCAACATCGCTTCAAGTAACTGGATGTTTAGCTTACCTAATATGTTCCGTTAAACCGCGGAAACTTGGCCTTCTTCTTCTGTGAAACGAAACAAAATGAAAAAAATCAAAACAAAGGAAAATAACTGTCTTATTTAAAAAAAATTGTTTTGAGAACCTCATTCTACATTCACAGGTCAGTATACAACTAAAGTTCCTATTTCGGATAAAGGAACATCTTCTACGAACCCAGCATGAATGGATTGATCTTGCTGAGTATTCATTCCAGACATTTTCAACCGCGCGATCTCGGAAGATTTCTAATGATAATAGAGTACGTTGTACAACGAATACAGAAAACACGAGGGCCTAGTAAATGGCCTTGCTTGCCAACGAATTTTCTGTAGTGGAGCTGTAGGACGAGCAATCGGAATCGCGAAATCGATGGAGCTCAAAGTTTTTCCCCTCGCTTGAGACAAGTGAGTTGAGCAGATAGACATGTTGCTTCTGATTGGCTGGACTCTTCCTTCACGTCATGATGCACATGGAATGTTGGGTGAACACGCAAAAACACCAGATCCGTCTTTAAACTACAGAGACGCCGTAGGGTATCAGATTAATATTAGGGACTTTAAGCAGTCAGGACGGCAACGCCACGGAAGTCGTCGATTAAAAAATGAGTTTCCACTTTTAGTTAGAACTTCGAAAATGGCTGCATGTGTTTACCGTCTCATAGGGCGCCAGACCTCAAACTCAACATAACGCATAAAAGTAGCGTTGAGTTCCAAATGTAAATTAAATTAAATGCCGCCGCGGTTTCGCTTCGCAGACGACGCAAATTTTGGTGATTTCACGTTGTTGTTTTGCAAAGGACGGCTAAGAAATGTACAAAGTTTTAAAATGCACGTGCTGGGCTATTG